GCTGGCAGTTTCTCTGACTCAGCCTTCCACTTCCCAGAATTATTCTCCTCCTTGTCTGGCCTATACTTCCTCCTGCCTGGCCACTAGCCAATCAGTGTTTTATTTATTGACCAATCAGAGCAACACATTTGCCATACAGACCATCCCACAGCAATATGTCACTCCGGGATTGGCCATCCACCGTGGCAGGCAGGACGCACTAGTGATTCCTAAGGCGCTTAGAGGCGAGCACTCTCAGCACACACCGGCTCCAAGCACTTAGGGGGAGTAGCGTCGGTTGGACGACACCTACTTCTTTCCTGTCATGCAGTCTCAAGTTCAGATGCTGGGTTTACGATGGGATAGCTGTTGTTCTCGTGCTGTGTGCGTATTAACTCCATTTTGTGTTCAGGGCACCCTGGGAGGCAGGTAGTGATAGTCTCTCTCTACAGATGGGGAAACGGAGACGTCAGATTCAAATAGCCAGTAACTGGAGAAGGGAAAATTCACTTTCAATTACAGTATAGCAGAGTTTGTGTTCTTAACCACTTTATTAGTCAGTGCTTTCCATAGATATAGAAAGAGACTCAGAAGAGAGAGAGTGTGTGTATGTACATGTGAATATGGAAGCACACGTCCATAATCTACAAAGTAGGTCACAAGACTGGAGACCTAGGTGACACACACCTAGAGTCACCTAGGAAGAGGGAACTTCACCTGAAGAACTGGCTCAATCAGATGAGACCATGTCTGTGAGAGATTTCATTGACTGATGTTTGGTGTGCGAGGACCCAGCCCACTGGAGGTGGCACCATCTCTAGGCAGGTAGTCCTGGGTTATATAAAAAATAGTGCATCACAGAACAAGCCAGAGGTGGGTGGTGGTGGCACACACTTTTAATCCCAGCACTCGGGAGGCTGAAGCAGGAGGATCTCTTGTGAGTTCAAGGCCAGCCTAGTCTACAGCATGAGTTCCAGGAAAGTCAGAGCTATACAGAGAAGCTCTGTCTCAAAAATAAAACAAGTTGCTTCAGAGAGCAAATGAGTAAGCAGTGTCTCTCTATGGTTTCTGCTCTGTTGGAGAATATTAAGGTGTGTTACTTTTGTTTATGTTGCACATGTTTAACTCTGTGAAGCTGTGTTACTTTGCCTGTCTAAAACACCTGATGGTCTAATAAAGAGTTGAATGGCCAATAGCAAGGCAGGAGAGAGTAATAAGATGGGGCAGGCAGGCAGAGAGGATAAATAGAAAGAGAAATCTGGGAGAAGGAGGAAGAAGGAGTGAGAGAAGGAGGAGGACTCCAGGGTCCAGCCACCCAGCTACACAGCAAGCCATGGAGGAAGTATAAGATTTACAGAAGTAAGAGAAAAGGAAAAAGCCCAGAGGCAAAAGGTAGACAGGATGAGTTAAGAAAAGCTGGCAAGAAACAAGCCAAGCTAAGGCCGGGCATTCGTAAGAATAAGCCTCCATGTGTGATTTATTTGGGAGCTGCTGCTGGGCCCCTCAAAAGAGAAAAAAACAACACTGCTTCAAGTCTTTTCTGACTTCCCTCGATGACGGATAGTAACCTGGAAGTGTCAGACGAAATAAACCCTTTTCTCCCCAAGAGACTTTTGGTTATGATGTTTATCACAGCAACAGAAGAGTCACTAGAAACAAGACTCAAGGAAGACAGAAGTCCAAGTCCAAAGGCATTCAGCTAGCAGGATAAATTTTTCAGTTAA